TGATGCCAAAGGGGCCCCGAGAGGCCAGGAGGCACAGAGGCCAGTCGCAGGCCTGCCGTGGTGGTTTTCCTGCGGTGCCGAATTTTGCGATCGGCAGCGGTTGTGGGCCCCTCCTCGCAGATCCCCCCGAGACCTGTCCATTGGCGAGCCCGGGCCAGAATGTCGAGTCTGATCCAGCCGTGGTGACTAGCACAGTCGGACCGAGGTATCACATCCAGATCGGTTCGGGGAGGGTACTGGATGTTCTTCGCGCTTGTTGGATGTTCTTGTGCATCCTGGAGGGCGGATGCTCTCGGATGCTCTTCAGTTTGGCTGGCGGAGGGTCTCATGCTCTTGTGGGACGTTTCTCTGTCCCAGGTCTTGCTGTAGCCCCCTAGAAGCCCCAGGAAGGCCCAAGAGCCAAGGGGCGAGGCAAAGAGTGCGAGACAGCGTCGGCCACGCGACGCGGGTCCGAGGATGGAATTCATCTATCTCCATCGCCTGGGAACCGATTTCCTGGGACCCCAGGGGGCCGTGGGAAAGTGGATGCATGTACTGCATTGGCGCTTCGCGCCATGCACCTTGGTACTTGAAGTCTGGTATGCAGACGGAATGGCAGGAAGGTCAAGCAGACAATTTAGCGACAACTCCTTGTGGCCTTTTCTGGCATCGCCGTTAAAATAATGTGATTCGGTATCATTCTTCCATGTTTATTTTTCCTCATTCTCGCCCTACCGTGCGATTTCTCCCCCATCCTCAGCTCTTTTTGCGGAGGCTCCTCCTTGGAGAGCCTCTCGGTGCCTCACGGAAGTTTTTCTGGCTGTCTTACGGCCTTGAGGAGGCTTCCTGGGCGTCGTCTGGGGGTCTCTAGGATTCCTCGGGCCACCCTGCCTTCAACCGCGGTCTCCCTGAACGACAGGGTCACGATTTGGATTGCTTCGGAGGGTGTCTTGGGGCTATCTTGGGCCGTCATGGGGCTCTCTCAGGCCATCTTGGAACCTTGTTGTGCCGTCTTGAGCCTCTCTGGGGCTGCCTGGAAGCTCCTTCCGATGGTTTTGTGACGATTTTCGAGCTTCTCAGGCGGTCTCGGACGCCCAGAAGACCGAGAAGAACAGTGCATACACAAGCTCATGCAAAATACTATGGAGAATCAATGTTTTCTGCGTTTGGGGAGCCTCTTGGGGGTCTTCTTTGGGTCGTCTTCGGGCGTCTGGTGGGTGTTTGGGGCCTCTTGGGGCCCTCGAGGGGGCGTTCGGCCGCCCTCCTGACCGATTTGGGCCCGTTGCCGAGGCCCAGCAACGTCTTCCAGTAGCACTGAAACGCCTGGGGGGCATCCTGCAGGGGCGTCCAGGGGCAGGTAGTAAGATATATGAATAGGACTATATGCGTCCATTTTCGCATTTGTACACTTCTATAAGGCCGGGGACCCCGGACAGGGCCCCCCCCGAGCGAATTTCGAATTCCCCGGGCTGCTCGGAAGCCCACCCGGGCTGCCCGGGCGCCATTGCGAAGGGTTCCTTCGGCCGTTCGGCCTTCGCGGAGGGTCCGAATTGGAATATTGCCCAACATAGCTCGTCGACAGCTCCAAAGCACACTATGGCGCCCAAGAGGCATCTAAAACGCACCCACACGTCCACGAGGCATCCGGATTGAGCCCACATAGCTTAAAATCGTCCCTTCGGTTTTGGAAGGTTTTCGGTGTCCTCGTCTTCTCGCGCTGCCACGCTCCAAGACGGCCAAAGAACTGCCAAAAACCGCCCCAAGAGCGGCTCAAAACGACCCACGCGGGCTTCAAGACGGCCCATGAATCAAAAGGCTCCCAAAACGGCCCAAGAGGGCCCTTAGACGGCCCAAGAGAACGCCAAAACGGCCTCCAACACAACCAACGCGGGCCAAGACAGCCTGAAGACGGCCCCAAAAAAGCCCAGGACGGGGAACACGAACTCACATTTTGAACCTACCGCCTCGAAATTGCCCTAGGATCTTCCCAGCGGCTCCCCCTGCGCCCCTTTCACGCTCCAAGAGGCCCTGATGTTCGCTTCCTGGGCCCTCTTGGGACTGCTCTGGATGACTCTTGGGGCGTCTTGGAGGCCTCTTGGGCCGTCTGGAGACCATCTTGGGGATCTTGGAGCGATCATCGGGCGTCTCGGACCCCTCTTGGACCGTATTGGCGGCCTCTTGGGGCCCCCTGCGACGATCCTAAGAGCCCTGAAGGCGGGCCCCAGGAGTTCCGGCATCCTGGAGCAGCGGTGCCCAGGGTACTTTTGGACCGGGCACCCCCAGGGGCCGCCACGCGCGTGCGAACTAGAAACTTTATAACCTGACCGGAACTCTTAGCACGCCTCTGGCCCGTTGGGCCGGCGAGTTTATCGTTATTCCCCGCGCGCGCAGGCGCGTGAGCACGTATGTGCACGTACATACGTACATGCGTGCGTATTACGTGTAGGCATGTACAAGTAGACATGATTCATATGAATGCGCGCCCATTGTTCGACGTTGTATATACAGCAATCCATCTCTCTCTCTATATATATATATAAGCAACATCAAAGAACATATGTCTCTCTACATATATATATAGAACTGATGCTTGTATATATATATATATATATATAGATGCGTGTACATGCCCAACGTGCATGCACGTGCGCGTGTACACGCATGCATGCGCATATTCAGGCGCGAATGTACACGCGCACGCACGTCGCCTGCGCGCGAAACTCAAAGGACAAAGGTGCACGGCGCGAAGCGCCAATGCATTTTTGTATGTATGTGTATATACATATATTTATGTAGAAGTATGTGTATATACATATATGTATGTAGAAGTATGTATATATACATATATTCACACATTTCAGACATATATACATGTCTGTATGTGTACATTTATAAACATACATAAAAAACGCAGATCTGTGCTGATAACAATGAGTATCTATACACAGACAAAGCTGATCCGGCCAGACCTTGGTCCCGCTGGGGGGCGCTGGGTCGCGAGCGCGCCTGGAGGGCCCAATACGGCTCCTGATGGCTTCGAGAGTGCCCCCAGCAGGGCCAAGAGGGTTACAAGACGCCCACGATGGCCCAAACACAGTCCCAGAAGCCCCCTTTTCGCTTCAAGACACCCCAAGACGCCTCAAGGGAGCCCCAAGAAGCCAGCATCGCCAAATTCACGCCGTAAAACGTATGTTTTTAGCATCAACACCTTCTCGCCTTCCCGACGCTTCAAAACGGCCCAAGACGCCCCCCAGATCGCCCCAAGACGGCCGAAGAGGTACTCGAGAGGCCCCCGCGACGGCCCAAGAGGGCCCCGAGACGGCCCACGAGGTGCCCAAGACGACCTGAGGGGACCCCAAAACGGCCCCCGAGATGCACCAAGGACCCCCACAGAGGCCCCCAACAGGCCCCAGCTCCCCAAGAGGCCCAAACAAGGCCACAAGAGACGCCAAAACAGCCCCCAAGAGGGGTCAGAATGGCTTCCGAAAAGCGCCCTGCAAGCCTCTTGGGCCCCCTGGATTCTACGGCGACGGTCGCAGAACATTCCCGCCGGCGTGCCTGGGCTGTGGGTATACAGCCTATTGGATGTTCGTTGAGCTCTCGTGGGAGGCCTCTTGGGGGCCCCTTGGAGGCAGTTTTGAAGCCTCGTGCGGGCAGTTTTGGGGCCTCTTGGGGCATCTCGGGGGCCTCTTGGTCGCCTCTTGGGGTCTCCTGGGGGCCTCTTGGGGTGGAAGTCTCGGATTGTCGGTTCGTGTTCCCTGTCTTGGGCCCCTTTCTGGACCGTCTTTGCGCCCTCTTGGGCCGTCTTGGGCGCCTCTTGGCCGTCTTGGGGCGCTCTTGGGCCGTCTTGGGGCTCTTGGGCCGCCTTGGGGTGGTCTTTGGGGCCACTTGGGCCGTCTTGGAGCGTCGGCAAGCCGAAAGGCGAGAATGCAACAATCCTCCCAAAACGGAAGGAACATCAATGATTTTTGCCTCTTGGGGCCCTGTTGGGAGGTCTCTTGGAGGCCTCTTGTGGCCTCTTGGAGGCCTCTCGGGCCATTTTGAGGCTATCTTGGGAGTCTTGGAGCTATTGTTGGGCGACTCGGGGCCCTCTTGGACTCATGGGAGGGTGCGTGAGGTCGCTTTGGGGGGGGGCCCAGCGTCCACAGGAGGCGCAGGAAATTCTTCAGAACTGACGGGAGCCAGCCCGGAAAACCACAGAAAGGCTTGGGACACGATTGGTCCGGGCCGCTCAAGACTAACAATGTTTTCTGCCGCCGTAGCACAGCGTCTACCTCTCAGTGTTGCGTGAGCCTTGGGGTACTCCATCTCGTGCCAGAGGCACAGTGGCGGATATGTGTATACATGTATGTGTATGTGTGTACGTGTATGCATATGTCCACCGATATGTATATGTATATAGCTGTATACATATATATATATATATATATTGATACATACATGCGCACATGCATACACACATAAACGCATGTGTGAATGTGTACATATATACATATACAACACGTGCACACATGCATACATACATACATACATACATGCATGCGTACATGCATGCATACGTACACACAAACATCATACATACAAGCATACATACACACATACATACATGCATGCATGCATACACATACATGCATACAGACAGACAGACAGACAGACAGACAGACAGGCACACACACATACATACATCCATGCATGCATGCATACATACATACATACTACGTGTGCACATATGTGTTTCAGGTATGTGTGTATGAATAAACATACATGGCATCTGGGGCCCATATATATATATATATATGTCCACCGCCTCCTGCGGTCCAGGATGCTCGGGCTCTGGCGGTGGATGATGATGATGATGATGATGATGATGATGACGATGATGATGATGATGATGATGATGATGATATGTTGATGATGATGATGATGATGATGATGATGATGATGATGATGATGATGATGATGATGATGATGATGATGTATTCCTGCCCAGCACCTGCCTCCCTTCTCCCGCTGCCTCCGAGGCCCTAGCCCTCATGCCCGACGGCGGCGAGGTCGCCCGTCCGACCAGGCTGTCGCAGGCGCTTCCGACGCCTTTGCAACCTTCGCCGCCACCGCCGACGACATCGCCGCCGTCGTCGTCGTCGTCGTCGTCGTCGTCGTCGTCGTCGTCGTCGTCGTCGTAGTCGTCGTCGCCGTTTCGGAGGTCTTCTTGGTGTTTCTGGAGGCTCTCGTTGCCGCGACCAGACGTAGCTCGAAATAACTGCCAGATGGAACCCCAGAAGCAGTTTAGGGGGTCGGTTTTGAGCGGATGATCGCCACAGCGACTCATACCTGAACCCGCCAAACCCCCCTTGCCAGATTTTTTGACTTCCTTCCGCGGGGGGTCCACCTGCGCGGCGACCCGTTAAACCCAGGACACATGGTGGCGCGTGGATTTTTGCATTTCGTCCGCGCGGGTATGGCCACTGTAACCCTTGAGCACCTCCGATTACAGTGCACCTACAGTCAACCTGCATAGTAAGGATGGGCAACATTCATTAGGGTACCCTTGCATCCTTGCCTCCTCGGTCCATCCTTGGATACTTTCTTTGGCCGCGGCCCGCTCAAAAGCGTCGAAGGCCCTTGCATTCTTATCGCGCATCCTTATGATACGGGTTGACTGTAGTTCTTGAGTATAAAACTGGTACAATTATGTGCCAGCGCACTTAGGGAGGAATCAACTGGACCAGGGGTGCCCGAAAGAATGGGCATACTCAGTCCTGGGCCAGAAAGGAAACCAAAGGAAGTTGCGCAGTCGACTGCTTCTCGGCGACCCTGGCGCGGCTTAGCCGTTGCCAGGCGAGCCTGAGGCGGGTGTACAAAGAATGCCTTGTACGTTGCACTAATATGGGCATGCTTGGCGAATGATTGGTTATCAGCCGAAAGTCTCTCCAGGAGCTCGTCTTCGGTGGTGCGGCCTTTCTCCCAACAGTTAGAGAGGTAGCAATGGTGGCTTTTCCCAAAAGGGGGCTTCGCAGGTGCGCTCTGATTATCCACGAACGCCCAACGCAGGGGTCAGGTGGCTCACGCCCCTGGGCCGTGGTTAGAGTCCGCTCAAGGAAAAGGGGGCAGGCACCCGACTTAGCCGCGGTTGCCGGCGGTGTCGCGAAAGAGGGGGGAGTTGTTTCCTCCCTCCTTCGACGGCCAAAACAGCAGGTTCTCAGAGCCTGGCTTGACATTTTCTGGCCACCTTGGTGCGTACGAAGGAGTCCCAGAATACAGCCAGACACAGTGCATCTTTGCATTCAGGGGGTACGCGTGGTGTTTTCGCACAGTCGGAAACAGAGGCGTCCTTCGTGAAAGCGTCGGCCTGCCACGTGTGGTTGGTTGTGGCAGGTCCTGAAGAGGATAGCCAACCACACGCCGAAACGCTGGAGACGGACTGGACCACGGGTGCCCGAAAGACTGGGCAGACTCAGTCCTAGACCAGAGAGGAAACCAAAGGAAGTTGCGCAGTCGACTGCTTCTCGGCGACCCTGGCACGACTTAGCCGTTGCCAGGCGAGCCTGAGGCGAGTGTACAAATAATGCCTTGTACTTTGCACTCATATGAATATGTTTGGCGAATGACCGGTCCTGCAGCACAATTAGTCTTAGCGAAATGCGACTCAGTATAGACTCGTCGCTTAGGATTACGGAAACACTATAGGATCGAGGCTTGGGAGTACGGAGCGCGAAAGTAAGACACAGTAGCGCGCAAGTAATGGTAATACATTTCCCTAGCACAACTACGGCTAGGGTGATACTGGGTTACATTCACAACCGGGGCTCTGGCGACTCGATTCCTCTTCAAGTTACGCTGGGTGGGTGGGCGGGTGGGGCCCCGCGCGCCAGCACCTACGCAGCTGAGACTTCATTCCTCGTCCGGAAGCTTCAGGCTCCCGATCTCCTCGCCAAGGGTTCCTTTCCTTCTTCCGCGGAAGCCAGACCCCCTGGGATCCTCGGCGCGCCCCAGCAATGCTTTCCTTCTGGATGGTCCTCCATGGGTCCAATGTTGGAGTCGCCCGGGTGATGGCGGATGAGAGGATGGAGGCGGAGGAGGAGAAGGAGGAGGATGATGATGAGGAGGAGGAAGAGCAAGCGAAGACGATACTGACGAGCAGAAGCAAGCGACGGAGGATGAACTTAAATGACATACGTTGGTGAAGAGAGGAGGGGTGAGGATTAAGACGATGGGCAGTTGGATGGTTACGTAGGGTGCTGGACGGGCGTAGACGGGTGATGCCAAGGAGGAGGGAGGGACGAAGGGATGAGCTTGAAGGAGGATCAAAATAAACTCTGAATGCGTCAGCGATGTTTTGGTAACTCCCGTCCCAAGCCCCCTGCCCGTGCGTTAAAACAGTCATTCCTTTTCGCTGCGGAAAGCGCACCCATGACATACGAGCGCTTCAGGTTGAAGTTCCGTTTTGGAAAATAACCACCTTCAGCCTTTATCGCTAGGTTAAGTGGCAGGTATTAATTTCAAGGAGCTCAGCGAGAGCCTTGTTCTGATGAGGGGGTCCCCTCTATCTGTGAAGCTGCCTCATGTGTCTTACGTTCCTAATCCAACCTAAAGCACTCTCAAGCGAGAACCTCATTTTGAATAGCGATCGCCCTCCATTCGTGTATATGCAGTGCAGATTTCAGCTCCTGGTGATCAAGCGTGGGCAAGCCCCAAGCGATCTCACCGTTGTTGGAAATGGGCCGCCCTCCACCCGTGCGGCTGCCGGAACGTTAAAGACGCATGCGTGCGAGGCTCGGATTCGAGCCACATTCTGAAAACCACACGATTCAACCGGTGCAATGGATGAAAGACTACGGTGGGGGCGCTCGTTAAGGAACGTGCCCAGGAGGCTTCCAGACCACTGGGGGGGTCCTTGTCTGACGAGGGCGGCGGTGATGTCCATGGCCACTCCACGATTGGCTTTCCACTGGCTTCCAGACCCTGGATTCCTTTATCGAAGGTTTCCGTATCCAATGCCCTCACCGTATTGTGCGCGGCGCAAAAGTTAGATCCATGCTTTGACTACCAGCCGACCCCAATCCTTTTGACTGACAAATGCAGTGAGGAAGACCCCATCGGAACTGCCAGCCCGTTCTACGACATCCTTGCTGAGCGATGGGGAGACGTAACGTATAAGGAAGCGGGGTGGTGATTGCAGGAGGCAGGAGGGGGGGAAATTGACAAAGGAGGAGAAATATGATGCTATTGCTGGGTGGTGGGGGAGGAGGGGTTCAGGCAAAGTAGGTTGAGCAGACGAAGGCGAGGATGAGGGGGGAGTGTGAGGAGGAAGACGTGGAACACGAGGATAACCATGGATCAGGTGGGGCAGAAAGGAGAGAGGAGGGGACGAGGGGGATAGGGACAGGGGGGAAGACAAAGAGGAGCAGACGAACGAGGAATCAAAAGATAACCATGAGCAGGAGGAGGAGGAGGAGGAGGAGGAGGAGCAGCAGCACCAGCATCAGCAGCAGACAAAGGATCTGGAGGATGATCGCACGCCCCTACAAGCACTCAGTATATTTAGCTACAGGAAGCCGCCCTCGCCCTCATGAAAGACAAGCATGCTATCCTTGAACAGTGGGAAGCCGACCCCAGCCCCCACAACGATTGATTTTGTATGTCAACGTTTTGCAGCTGTGGCGAAGGTGCGTAAGTGCAGGCGCCCTGCAATCGAGACCAGTGCCGTACACTTGGTCTAAAGTTCCGCATGTGGGGGAGGGTGGGGGGGGGGGGGGGGGGCGCTTTTCATGCGCTCGATCCTGCCATCCCCGCTGGAGCCACCCCGCCCCTGGCGGACCAGACGAGGAGTCTTCGACCTTTCGAGCTGCACGAGGTGCCATGCAATCCCAAGAGGGAGGGGGGGGGGCGCTTTTAATGCATTCGATCCTGCCGTCTCCGCTGGAGCCCCCCCCCCCCGCCCTGGCGGACCAGATGAGGAGTCTTCGACCTCTCGAGCTGCACGAGGTGCCATGCAAGCCCAAGAGGGAGGGGTGGGGTGGGGGGGGGGGCGCTTTTCATGCGCTCGATCCTGGCCACCCCCGCTGGAGCCACCCCGCCCCTGGAGGACCAGATGAGGAGTCTTCGACCTCTCGAGCCGCACGAGGTGCCATGCAAGCCCAAGAGGGAGGGGTGGGGGGGATCCAGCGAGAGCCCCCCGGCGTACCGAGCGGAAAGGGCCCTCCCTCCGTACAGCAGTTGCCGGACAGCTCGGCACTTACGTCGGGCCCGTCCCTCGACAGGAGGAGTGCTCAAACACAGTCTCAAAACATAGCCGGGGGACGACATGTTGATGATGTTTGAGCATACTTCGGGTATGCTTTGACTCATGTGTTCGTCCAGCATCCGCCCGTAGGGGGACATGCCCGACCTACCTTTACACTTCCATCCATGGAGGCAGCGGAAGTCGCAGACGTGATCGCAAGCTTGTACACGAGCCGCCCTCAGTACGTGCAGCTGTCGCCCGTGTGTGCCCATGGTGGTAAGGTGGGAGAACAGCTCAAGCGATACAGCAGCTGTTCAGCGAGGAGCCGCCCTCTCCACCCATACGTGTGGTGGAACCTGTCAAGGCGAGCGTGCGCAGCGCCAATGCGAGACCCAGATCTTCAAGTTCGTGCCGCCCTCCATGAGCGTTTACGTTTTCAACATTTGAACTCGAATGTGCTCGGCGCCGCATTTGAAATCGAGAGCCCCATGTTCAACAACGACCTGCCCTCTATCCGTATGACTGTTGTAATTGTCATGCTTCGTGGTGAAAGCGTCACCCTCCCTACTCCACCACCAAGCCCTCACGGGGAGAAGTCTCGAGCGAAACGCCCGCCCCGCCCTACCAGCAGGTCTTGTGATGCGAAGAGGAGGAGCTTTGCCCCCAAACGCTGCTTGCACTTCGGGGCTCTCGATTGTACAGTAAGTTATTGGACCTGGTTGTCGGGACATGGCGCCCCGTGCGTGGTGGCTGTTCTTTAGCCCGTGGGCCGCCTCGTGTGTGCCCCGTGCGTGGTGGCCGATTGCTTGGGTCTCGCCTCGTGGGCGCGTGCGTGCGCCTTGTGGGCGTTCTCCC